ACAGCGAATTTCTAATCCCCCAGCAGAATTTTCTTTTCTTCCATTCTATTTTTCCAGATCGTTGTTACAATATCTTCAGAAATTAAATATCCACCTATTACATATAATTTGTTCCTTTTTCTTTTTTCTTTTTCTAAATTCGAGTTAATCGACAGAAATATAATCGGTCCTTATATCGATCAGTTCGGATGGGAGCGTTTTCACGGTTACGCACACGATTGTCTCTCTAAAAACTATTGCAATACTGTAGTTGGTGGTATTTTATTTCAAGTGACTATTGCGAACAATGTTCAACGGACTATTTTATTTGTGGGATACACCCGACTGGAGATTTCGATGGCGGGGTGCTCTCGGCAACAGGAAAGGGGAGGGGGCGTTCGTGTAAAAATATTTAATATGTATATGTACATTTCGTATATATATATATACAATATACTTCTGATTGTATACATATATGTGTATATATATATTTATATATATAGCTATATAAATACTGTCGTAGAAAACTATGATCTGCAGGGAGGGACGTAAATATCTGTCACTTCATAAGGGAGACGAACGCACCCCGCCAATTCTTTTTTAACTATAATGCTTCCTTATAACGTGTGTGTACGTGTGTGTACTCTATGCAGCATTCAACGAGTCTGTACATGTGTGAGTGTATATTTCGATGTGTACGTGTTTGTGCTGTGTACATGTTCGTATAATAACGTATATTTACCGCGACGATTGGTAAAATCGCCGCCTCTATTCGCACAGTAAAAAAGAAACAAAAAAAATCTTTCTTTTTCAAAAGATTGAAGAAAAACGAAGAAGAAAGTCTATAGACGAGATCACTGAATTATTCACCAACTTTGCACGCGGTTGATCAACGCGTGTACGATTCGATGATCGGCATAGAGGGTTGGCAATCAATGTGGGGACACTTTCTATGCAACCTATATTTCTTAGCGATAATGAAAAACAATAGAACATTGAACGAAAATGATTTAAAAAAAAATGGTAAAGAAAGTCTTAAACCTCGTCGCGTTCGATTAATTATTCACAATGGCACGAAGAAAACGATCAATCCGACTTTCCATTTTCCACTCTTTATCCCCATCAGCATTAACTTGTTCAACGATACCTAGAAAACCTTTTAGCTTCCTCCTTCGATCGGTGTCTATTATTTTTTCGTTATTCATTATTTTCCCGTCTCCTTGTTTCCTCTCCTTTTTAAGATTCTCCTCCTCGATAAAACACCGCGAATTAAATTTGTACTCTGCGAAGAATTTTTTTTTCTTTTTTTATTATTTTTTTCCCCATTTTTTCCAGCTTCTTCTCCCTTATTTTCTCTTCCATTTTAACCTTTGTCTCGCAATATGGTCACGCCTGATGCGTAATATTTATAGAGAGCTTTTTTCAAGGCAAGAAGTGGTTTCTTTGTACCGATTAGACCTGGATTCGCGTCTCGATCGATCATTCTCGTATTCTTTTCCTCGATCTAAAACATGTCTATCTACGAAGCTTCCAGTTGTAACCTCGTGACGTGTCAATTCGTGGATTCGTCGGCAGGAAACGAGCGATTAAAAATTTCACTGTCCACAACAAGCATTAAAATATCACGTTTCGAGGACTCATAATAGACGAATCACCGTAAACGAGTAAATTTTACTTCGATTTCACGATTCACATGGCCTCTTTGCGTGGTTCGTATACAAATATTTCGATCGTATACAGATACCCTCGTAAGTATATACAATATAAAGTTTAAAAAATTCGAGAATCTCAGCGTCGAACTCGCCCAAACTCGTTGCAAATCTCACGGCCTGATAATTCCGATAACACGTTCCTTCCAAACACATGTTCGTGTAATTATTGTCTTGAATAAAATGTTATAGCTTCGGTTTACCGCGTTTACAGCTGCGGTTTACAGCTTAAATCCCTAATAAATGACTCTCGAGAATTCGTACCGGAAAGGGTGAGGATCGACGCTACTCGTCAAAAAGTTTGCTCGTTTCGCGCTCGTCCACGTTCGATTGGTGAACATTTTCATTTTTGATTTTTCGAATCTATGTAATGTTTAACCTTTTTCTCTTTCTCTTTCTCTCTCTCTCTCTCTCTCTCTCTCTCTCTCTCTCTCTGTCTCTCTCTCTCTCTTTCTGGACGTATCACCTCACGCAGAGATACATACACAGGTTTCGTTCGTGAACGATGTATTCCTATCGTCAGTGGCCTGGTAAAGTCACTGAGAATCCCTGTGTTTCATCGGTAAAATTCTCTTACAAGCTAAGAAAGGATAAGTATACTTCGAGTATTGTATTGTGTACAACCTACTAAACCTAGGCAAAAAGAAAAAAAAAGAAAGTAGGTGCTAAAACCTACAGAAAGAATTTGTCATCAGACAGAATCGATTCTCTCATTTGCTCGTTACCATTCTCTGTCTTTCACACACATATGCGAAAGAACAAAAAAAAGATATAACCAAAACAATAAAAAAGAATAAGAAAAGACAAAATAATAGTCATTATACTAGACAACTCGGAACGAAAGGAATCCTAACGTTTAAATCGCGTTGCGCCAGTACGTATTGCTAAGTTTCTCTTTTTCGCTAAACGTGCCTAATTGTGTATGTGTATGTGTGTATGTACGTGTATGTGCGCGCGCGAGCGCGCGCGCATGCGTGTGTGTGTATATATATATACACACACATACATACATACGCATATATTTATATATATATATATACACATATATATGTACATATATACATATATATATATATATACACATATATATATATATAATATGTATTCTCAAGGTATACCATAAAATCAAAGTAGCTCGTGTATGTATTCAATTAGTAGGAACCATTTTAGTATTATACATTTCGAGTCTAAACACGAAATCGCGCGCATAATTGCGATCTACGAGTTCGAAACTGCCTCTTCCTCTATCTTTCTTTTCGTCTTCCGCTCTCCACCCTACATATCACTCGAAGAACGAGAATCACGTTTGTAAAATTCTGGAGCATGATTCAAACGAGATACGATAATATTAAAAATCCTACATATACCTATCGTGAAACGAAAATTCGTTGGAAAAGAAATATCGACCGGTTTATAAATAACGCGAGTTGAGAGAGGAAAATCGTTGATCGAGATGAGTCAAAGACATATAAGAATGCGGAAAAAGACTTCGATGGATGCTCCAGGAGCAAAAGCAACACGAACATGAAGAAAAGATGGATCGTGGTTCTCGTTCTACTCGTGACTCTATACTATCAGTCCCCTTGCATCACATTTTTCCTTCTTTCACTCTCATTATTCTTTTGGAAAAAAAAGTACACGAGCAACTAATCGTCTATGAGCAGATCTCGTCCACGGGTGAAAGAATCGTGTCGTTCCCCTCAAGAAAGAAGAAAATCGCCCAAGCCGAAAAAAAGAACTTAAGTACTAGAAAGGTCATGGCAAGCCCTGGGGGATGGATTTTTGTTTCCAGTTCGATTAATCGACAGGTTCGATTGAATAGAAGAACGAAGGAGCGGGGGAGGGGGGGAGAGAGTTCCGCATGACGAAAGGAACGACAAGAAGGGCCTGTTCTCGATTATTTTATGATTCACCTAAGTCAAAGCCTTCTTTTCCTAGTTCGCGCGCTACTTTATCTAATTCTAATTTCAAAACAGAGCAAAATTTCAAATTCAACTGACCAGTTTCAAAACGCATCATCTCGAGGATTGTGTAAGAAATATCTCCTTCTTTTTCTATCTCGAATCCTGACACCATTTATCAACGTTGTCCTAAGAATTCTCGCCAGGATATTAAAGAAAGTTTGGCCGACTTCGCAAAACATAAACCAGCATTAAGATTTCTTGTTTGCCGATTGACATGTTGAGCTACCCGGTATCGTTCTGTTTCATATTCCGCCTCTTTCCCTACGATAAAGCGAATAGACAATTAACAATCGCAATAATCGTCGCACTTCTATAGAGCGACTCTTAATCGGCGAAAACACGACCGCACGTAATTTTAAATCACGCAATAATACATAACTTTTCATGTATATACGTTTGTGTATATGTGTATGTGTATTACCACAATACGTTAAAAAGTAAAAGGTAGTATGTGTGAGAGTGTATTTAATGTACGTAGTGCCTTGTATACGCATGTTTGCAGGTGAGTGCACTCTTCTAAAAAATACAAAGGGTGCTAACCCTGGCGCTACACGTATCCACTCTAGCCATTACTTTAATATTCTCTTCCCCTCCAATTATTATTATTATTCATTCTTTTTATATGTATCCGTGTACGTACGTACGTGCCGTTGTACACTAACTTCTCTATAAATCTAGACAATATATATTTTTCCTCAACATTTATATATAATAATATGATATAATATAATAATAATATCATCGCGCCAATTGCGTACACGCTACGATCGCTGTTCTTTACTTGTCCTTCTCTCTTTTCTTTTCTACTTATAGAAAATAAAAAGGATCAAACAGTTGCCTTGACGTTGCGTGGCTTCTCGATTTTCGACTTTCTCGAGACTTTCATCTGCGATCCTATAGAAACACAGTCGTTGATACCATGAACAATATTTTCATCGCAATATATCTTTTTCACTTGAACATTTGCTGTAGCGCAACTGACATCATCGAATAGCCATGGTGATAGACCTCTTCATCTCCAATCGTTTCACCATATTACTTTCCCCTAAGTTCATGATTCATGAGATTCATTCGTCTTGGTCTGTCCCATTACTTATCGTTTATCGTGTTCACTGAGGTAGACAGATGGAATATTTTAAACAGGCTAAAAACTGTATACGCGCATATACACATGTGTATATGTGTTCACACACATGTCCTCCCGGAAGACGTACGTGTGTCTGTGGCAACGAAAAACTCCGTTTGTTTCTCTGTAACGAAGGAAGAATTCGTTCTCCAATCCAAAGACACATGGGTACGTATGTGGTCTGCAATGACTTCGTTTTCTCAACTTCTTCCTTCTTCCTTCTTTGGAAAAAAACAAAAGAGTTCCATCTCTCGTAACGAAAAGAAAACAGGAGTAAGTCTCTACTGAGGTAGTGGATGGATTTGACCGCGAAGGAAGAGGACGTGGCTGGAACCAAGATACAGGGCACGTCTCTTCATAAGCACTTCCTAATCGGGTCACGTGTCACCAAATCTGGCCGGAAGATACCGCTAACGTGCCATCTATTCCGCTTTAACGATCTCTGGCTCCTCGTTCTCGCTAAAGTCGTCTTCTTCGCCACCGGACGACTCGCCTTCCTCCAAAAGTCCAACGTGCCTATCCTGCAACGTATCCTGACGATCCTCGTGCACTACTCCCGGTCCTCGACCCTCATCTCTGCCGATCATAGGATAATCTTCGATCCCACGACTGCCTAATTTATCCATCGCGCTCATGTGAGCCATCTTAGCCGCGTGTGCAGCCGCTACCGCAGCAGCTTGCTCTGCACTAAGTCCCATTGTGGTCAATCCGGAATTCTCCGCGATAAATTGTAGATACGTATCGATGATCGCCGATCCAGTGGCGCTGGTGTTATGATGGCTCGGATGAAGATGCCCGGGTGGATGAAGAGGAGCCGTATTTGGCTCACGGCTGCCGTGCATGGTGTCTAAAGACTTGGCCGCAATCGCCGTTGCAGTCGAACTTTTGGGATTAATGCCGCTGTTGCTACCGCTTACTTTGGTGATCACAGTGTTATTGTTTGGCGTCGGTGATCCATACCTCAGGCTGAGCGGCAGCGTTAGGTCTTCTGGGTCGTCCCCGCCGCAGATGCTGCTTCCGGCCTCGGATGGCGCGCCTCCTCGAGGTATCTCCAGTCTCATGTCACCCCTTCTGGGTCCCGTGGGACTGGCACGAGCTCGTAACTCCGCGGGACTCACCTTGACACCCGCCTTGGCCAATAGACGCGACGCCAGTTCAGGATCGAACGGACTCGGCATCGGTAGTACTGGTAGGTCCTTAGTGCTGATTCCACGATGCTGCCGCGACATGTGCGAATGCAAAGAGTTCCTTGATTTCGCCACGGTGCCGCAGAGAACGCAACGATAGCCAGGACAGATCGTGTGCTTATCTTCCAGATGAGTTCGCAACGTGTGGGCAGATCGATAGATCTTACCGCATTTCGGGCAGGGACGTGGATCTGTGGCGCGGACCCGCATCATGTCCAAACCGCGGCGACCGACTGAAAAAAGAAGACAAACAAAAGGCTGATGAAGGCGAGTTTCCCGAGTGAAAGTCGTCTGTCGTTGTCGTTTTTTTCTTTTTTTTTTTTTTTTTTTTTCCGCGAAA